AATTAAAGTTTTTCTTCATTACCCATTCAAGCCGTCTCCAGCCATTATTAGTCTCTAAGTGGGTTCCTCGTCAGAGAATTTAGCTTCCTGTCATAGTACAATATCCAGATACTAATGAGCACAAGTAGGAAAATGGTTAGAAAATCACTTTTGATGAATGTTATTACCGTATTTTTCGGTGTATAACACGCACTTTTTTACCGCAACATTTGATGTCAAAATCTGCTTGCGTCCTATAAACCGAAGGTATGAATAATATATATGTATATATACGATATACACAAGCCATGTGTAAATATATTCAAATAGGCATGCATAGTTTAGTTCAATTGAATGTGTTATTTATAACAATAGTTTTTTTCTTTTAAAAACATAACTATTTATAATGCTCCCTACATAATAAAAAAATAAATTACAGTGAAAGCAATGAAGATTTTGTAGGTTTTGAACCAAACTAAATAACAGTAAACCTTTTTTTGATTTATAATATTTTCTTATTTTGATGTTTTGAGCTCTTTTGTGTTTAGAACAATATATACTAACTTTTAAAGTATCAAATTGAATTTTTGTTCAATAAAAATCTTTCAAATGCGACTGTAGTTTTTTTCCTCCAAAACTTTGTCTTCAAAATAAGGGTGCGTCTTATACACCGGTGCATCTTATATTCCAAATAAATATGGTACTCTAAAAGTTCCATTTTAGTGCACAAGTTATCATAGTCAAAATTATACTTAAAATTCTAAGACATATTACAAAAAATAGAAACAATGCACCAAAAGCAAACTTTTACTTCACAAACAAAAGAAGAGAAGGTAATTGTACTTTTATTTATATTATGATGTTTTCACCATATATTTAGTAACTACGAGTAAAATTAGTATTACTGCTTCCTTTTAGTTAACTTTCTGCAGGGCATCCATTTTTATTTTTTAGAAATGTGTGTATACATATGTATACAGATGTGTTCACAAAATACAATTAGGTGAAAAAAAGCCAAACACATTCAATAAGTTGGTTTCTTTAATATTTCAACAGCTGAAAGATTCTCCACATCAGCCTATTACTTATCTCTACTGGAGACTACTATGGACTGCATCTGTCCTAGTAGTCTCAAATCAAGTAGTCTTATTTGCAATATTTTACCTGTAGTAGGCCTAATGGGTCACTGTCAGGAAACAGTAGCTGAATGTCATCTAGAGTAAAGCACCCCGATGCAGGGGCATGTTGTAGGTGGGTGTGTGACAGTAACTGTCCTAGAACATCCACACATAACCATCTTGGATTTAGCACAACAAAATTCTGATTCTCTGACTTCAGGTAAAGTACCTGCAAAATTAATACATAAATACAATATACTTTTGTATAGAGCAACAATTAATAACATAATAACAATTGTTATAGTGTGAATGGCTTTTTCAAGCTGGTGAAGCATGATTATAATTAACTTACTTGTCATTTGACATTAGTATTAGGCCTATTATATATTTTTTAACACTGCATTCCATATCTAGTCCCTTAGGGATTTTCAAGAATTAGAAGAGTGTATAATAAAAGTATTCCAACCACACTACGTTCATCACATCAATTGCCATCCAAAGCTCATCTTGCCACTGGACAATTGTTATGGTGTGAATGCCTTAATTACAATAGTAAACCATGATTATACTTGGGACTAGATATGGAATGTTAAAAGATTGTATATTAGGCCTAATACTAATGTTTGATGACAAGTGCATTAACCAGTAATATATTCTCAGGTTTTTATTAAAAAAGGAGGTGCAATAAACAGGTCTTAAGAAGTACAACCGAAATAGAAGATTTACGTGAAGAACGAGTAAACATTCAATACTTCAAATAATTGAGCAAAGCTTTTAAGTTGAATATCAGTATTATTTTTGTTAGTTGCACAATTTGTTAATTCTCTACAAAAACATTTATAGGTGGCCTTTTCAGACATTCATGGTTTCCACAGATGCTTTTTTTTCTGACAAAAATTCATGTATATTCAAGAGTTACTTTCGGTTACATTCAGGTACGACATCAGCCTCTTCACATTGAGGGGTCAAAAGTGGGCATGATAAAATTAATTTAGGGGGTTGCATTCTACGTCTTGTGGGCACACATATTGTAATATTTAGGAAGTGAACCAGCCTTAACATTAACCCACTGACTGCAGCAGGAGCAGGTCAGTTGCCATTTTCTGACTCACAGATAAAACTGAGTTGCCATCAATCACAATAAAATGGTAATTTTCATCATTCGCATAGAGCGATAGTTATATATGTGCGACTGACAGATATTTCCATCATTCGCAGCTGAGCCATGGAACTTCAATGACAGAAATATCCGTCATCTGCAGTTAATGGGTTAAGCATGTTCAATGGGTGTGGAGGCTACAGAGGGAGGTTAAAGCACATTTCAGGGAAGATTCAGCCTTAACTAGCTCTCCCCTTACTGCAACCCCTGCCTACATTCAAGCACCATTGAGTCTTTAAGTAATAATGGACAAATTAACTTATAAGGGAAATGAAATGTATTGTTAACTCTGCCAGTCAGTAACTACATTTTTCCCGAGTCAATTCCTGGAAACACACTTGCACAGGTTTCAAAGAAAAATGGAATTTTCATAATTGGAACTATCAGCAATTTTTGGAACATAAACTCTACACGCAAATTCTTTGGTCACAGAAAGATGAAAGAACGAGAATGGTAATAGCAGTTTTTATCCCTTTACAAGCATGCAGTTTTTATCCCCACTAGATTTCAAGTATTTTTTTTTCCCAGAAAAATCTCAAATCTTAAGCATTATCAAGTACTTAAAATGAAATCTTTAAATTCAAGAATTTTCAAACCTTTATACAAACCCTGCAGTAAGGCATTTAAGCTCAATTATAAGTATCATTGAAGTGTTAATGGCACTAATACATTTATTTCCTACAAAACATTTAGAGATGATACTTTTACCTACTTCCCAATGAACGTGAAATAGCAATCATTCTTTTATTGAATTTCACCTGTTACAACTTATTCAGTTAGTAACAAATGTACCAACTAATTATATTAAAATAATGCAATATCTATGTAAATGTTGACCTTTCAAAAAAAAAGGACATAAGTAACAAACTTTTACATATTTCCACAATATGATTTTACCCTTTACTTTCCTGCCACACACACACACAGTAAGAGGGGGGAAAAAAACAACAACATTTAGTGATACCATGAACACAATAACTCGCCTCTCCTGTAATCTGAAGTTGTGTAATTAATTCTCTAAAGTGTTCCTCTCCAGAAAGTGGGTTTATCTTGAGGTGAACCTTGTCAACAAACTGTTCCCAGGACAACACTGGAAAGCTACCAGAAGATTTTCTCCATGCTGGTAACTGGGAAAGCACAGATTCAAGGAAACCACTGTGTTTGGGAAGATCCTGATAAGAAATTAATACTGTGTCATTAAATACTTCAAAGCTTTTGTTGATCTAAAAATATGAATGTTTTTCTATAGTTTGAGCAAGTATGAATATCCAATCTTAAGTATTCATTATATATTTTTTGCTACAAGAAAGCAAATATGGAGTTCATGAACGACTTCTGTCTTCTGTGAATATTTCTAGATGTCACAAACATATATATATGTAATCATTAAAATCTCAGTTGAGCCAGATAGAAACAACATGGCTGTTGCAACAGTACTACCAATCATGCTGACTTTTAACTAATAAAAGACACATGAAAAGTTTACCCTGAAGTTTCAGACTGACAACACACACTCAAAAACACATTTCAGTAGCCTTAGGCTGACACCATGCCCACCAAAAGCACAACTTAAGACTCATAACAGTATATATATATCTGTATATACTTAATTTTATTGTTTTTTTACCCTTTGAACCATGTCTAACTACTAATCCCACTATACAAGTTCTTTGGTCGTGTTTTTTTTGCTGTTGGTTGAAAGTTAAGCCTACTTTTTTTTTTTTTTTTTTTTTTTTTTTTTTATAACGATAGTACTAATATACTAAATAACTTTTGATTTACTTA